AATCATGCATCTATCAACAAGTGAATCTAAGAAGCAAGTGAATAAATAATCTGGTGATCATAATAGAATCAGGGACATAGAAAGGGAATGGACTGACTATTTGGGGGGGGGGAAAGGGGTGTGGGAGTTGCGGGAAGAGACTGGACAAAAATTCGTGCACCTATGGATGAGGACAGTTGGTGGGGAGTGAGGATAGAGGGTGGGGCGCGAACTGGGAAGAGGGGGGAGTTATGGGGGGAAAAAAGAGGAACAAATGTAATAATCTGAATAAAGATTTAAATTAAAAAAAAAAAGAAACAAATTCCAGGTAAATTAAAGACTAAATGGGAAGCCAAATATTTAGAAGAGATGATCTTTCTGACATTAGAGGAGTGAAAGATTTTTTACTAAAGATACAAAAAGCACAAACTATAAAGGAAAATATCAAAAGATTCTATTATGGGCCTTGGCTGTTAGCTCAGTTGGTTAGACTGTTGTCTGATATGCCAAGGTTGCAGGTTCCATCCCCGGTCAGGGCATATACAAGAATCAACCGAAGAATGCTTGAATAAGTGGAACTGCAAATTCATTTCTTAATCTCTCTCGAATCAATTTTTAAAAACAAATGTTAATCGCTCTGTCAAATGCCACATGTAAAAAGACAAGGCCACAAAGAGCTATGCAACCTACAGATATAAGATGATCACATACATAAAAAATGCTCGATCATTAAGAAAAATACAACCCGTCCAGGCGGGTGGCTCAATTGAAGCATCATTCCGCATACCAAATGATTGTGCGTTCAATTCCCAAACAGTGAGTGCAAAGGAGGCAGCCAATTGATGTTTCTCTCTCATATTGATGTTTCTCTCCCTTCCTTCCTCTAAAATCAGTAAACATATTCTCAGGTGAGGATAAAGTAACAAAAAAGACAACGCTTTTAAAAAATAAGCAAAGGATACAGAGACAATTATCACAGGAATTTGAACGTTCAAAAAAATCCTTGAAAAGAAAAGATATTCTGTATCTCATTAGTAATCAGAGAAACACATTGAAGCCACAGTAACATTCCCTATCATACCCACCAGATCAAAAAAAATGTTAAGTCCAACAATAAAAATATAGAATTTACAAGAATGCTAGCACATTGCTAGTGAAAATGTAAACAGGTAAAACCATACAATAAGCAATTTGGTAATATCTCGTAATGTACCCCAGCAATTCTACTCCCAGGTCCATACCCCAGGGGAATATCTTGCATGTGTGCCCAGAGACAAAGGTTCAAGAATGTTTAAAGAGATATTATTATCCACCACAAAACATGTAGAACCTACATATCCATCAATAGGAGAACTGGAGTATATTCATACAATGGAATCCTATACCACAGTTGCAGTGCATGAACCAATTAGGGCCACCTCTAGCCTGTGTCACTCTGCAAGAATGGAAAGAAAGGCTCACCTCATCCCTCACTACCCGTGCCAGTGGGCTTACTTAGAAGTCATCACTCTGCTGCTCTAAGTATCAACATGGATAACTCTCAACAACATAACGATAAGTGAAAAAAGAAACTGCACAGTATACCATTCATACACAATTTAAAGACACATTAGCCCCATTATTTACATGACATATACAGTGCAATAAATAGGCATAAGAATGATAAAGACCAAAACCAAAATCAGGGTAGGAGTTACGTTGAACAGGAGTACACAGGGATTTAAACTTACCAACGTAAAGTTC